AATGAGCACGACATGTGGGGGCCAGTCACTTTGCACTCCCCAGCTTTCCTGGGGCACTCCCCCATCTCTGGGGCAGCATTCCCAGGGAGCCCAACAGTTTGCCCACCAAGAAGAAATGTGGTCAGGAGCCACAGGGAAAATCATAGCAAAGAGAAGGCCAAGCAATGCACCTTTTAAGATTAAATTCTTGGAAAATCTCTATACAAATATAACTATGTAACTATGTAAAAATATATATAAAAATATACAAATATGAAAATACAAAAATTCTGCATGTTATAGTAGTGATGCTACATCCCAGCATACAATTAAAGGCCAGAATTGCTGTCTCCCAGGTAAGACTCAGGTTGTGAAGCGTTGTCCTCACAGGTGGAGCAGATGGCAAGGGGACATCCCCAGCCCTGCTGTAGCCCTGACCCAGGAGCCATGCGTTCCACAAGCCTGGGCTCATCCTGGCAGCCTTTATCTCCTCCAAGGGCTCAGCTTTGCAGGGCGTTGTCGCCAGAAATGAGGAAGGAGATGGGTGAGGGAAGTGCTGATGAAGAGCCCTCACAGGTCACAGGTGTCCTGCTCCTGGCTTTGAGCAATGCTGAGACCCAGGGGCAGGATCCTGTCCCACCTCAGGGCTGGCACATCTTTCCCAAAGCTCCTCTGAGCTGTGGCACACCTCCATTTCCACTTTTACAAATGAATATGGGCAATATATAAGAAATACATAAGAATAAATAAGAATATATTAAAAAAATTTTATGCTGAGGGTGGTGAGACCCTGGCCCAGGTTGCCCAGAGAGGTGGTAGAAGCCCCATCCCTGGAAACATTCCAGGTCAGGTTGGACGGGGCTCTGAGCAACCTGATGTGGTTGAAGATGTCCCTGCTCACTGCAGGGGGGTTGGACTGGATGGCCTTGAAAGGTCCCTTCCCACCCAAACCAGTCTGTGATTCTATGAAAATACTAGTTTAGTTTTTCTATTTTATATAGATATAAATATAGATATCTATAATCTATTGAGTATACTTCATATTTTAAATTATCACAATGCTAAATGAGCACTTTACCTCTCTCTCTGATATTTTAGTTTGATATTACTGTTTTTTCAGAGGCTGTATTATACTGAAGGAGGCTTGAAGTTAAAAGGAAACATGACAGTAAAGCAAGCAAAAAAAAAAATAATAATAAAAAAAGATAATTTTTAATACTTGTTGAGGTCTTGGGGTTTGAAAAAAAAAACAGAAGAGGCTTTTGAGCAGCAGGATGCCCTGGATGAGCTTTGGGTCACCAGGGAGTGTACATCGTGGGTGGTTTGTAATATTGCTGTGGTCCCTGGCTTGTATCTTGAGTTGCATCACCCACGTTCAGATTTGACCTCCCCATCACAGCTGAGACCTGCCTGCACATCTTCATCCTGCTGGCACAGCGGTCACCACCCCAAGCTGGCAAAGCATCATCCTTCCCAAAAAAAGGAAGGATTTTCACCCAAAAAGGGAAGGATTTTCACCCAAAAAGGGGACAAATCTCAGCTCCCCCCAATCCCCTTTTTCCCCTGTTGCAGCCTCACGTGCCTAAAGACACTGTCAGAGCTCGCCACACGCCCGCCCTGTATCCCTACAGCATCTCCCAGGATCATTCTTTTATAAATGGGGCTTTTCATGGCAAGAAAGTAATGAATGAGTTTTAAGCATGCCCATAAATACAATGTTTAGAGACGTCATCTGCAGAAAACGTTTATTTTCAGTGCCCTCCACCCTTTCCCCCCCACACCACCCTGGTTTATTTTAACAATGCTGTAATTTTCTCTTATAAAATTAGATTTTTCTGTTTAACTCCATATAGTCTGTTCAGCCATTTGCATGTATGTGTGCACGGGCTGGTGACATTTGTCACCATCAGATGTTATTTTTAGACCTGTTATTCTTGAGGACCCCACCCTTGACTTGGGGAGGGGAAGGGGGGAGTCCAGGAGGAGGGAGAGGAGGGAGGAGGAGGAAGGAAAAACATCAGCCTCAGCACACTTCCAGCCTGTGGCCATCAGCCTCCCTGGGGCTATGGGAACCATAAGGTCATTTCTCAGGCTCTGCTGAGCTCTGGAGCTGTCAAACCACCCTGCCAGTTAAAAAAATGCAAATGTATGCAAATGATGGGCTGTTCCTTTTCCTTTCTCCCCCCCACCTCACATTTAAATGACATGAATCACCTTCAGTTTTGCCAGCATCCTGTAAAGTTATCAGCTTCCCTAAGTTCATTTTAGTTAGCAGAACCCCATCTTGAGAGGACCAAGAGGGGAAAAGAAAGGAAAAGGATTCCATTTCCACCAAAAGGGGCTGTACATCATTTTAGTTTATAATTGCATTGTTCCCAACCTCCCAATTCCATTTTTTCTTACTTTCTTGCCACTGAATGAATTATCCAGAGCGGGGAATGATGCAGTTGAGTGTCCGGGAAAAACCTCTCTAAAAACAATTGTCAGGGTAGTGCAATATTCTGCTTTTCTGATCTTTTGTATTTAGGGTGATCTGGCAATAAAAGATCAAAATAGATTCATAGGAAGACACGCTCCTTCACACAAGGAGCTCCTTTAACACCAATAATCCTTCTAAACAAAAATAAATGAGCGGAAGATAAATACAGCAATAGAAATTTAATCGATCATGCTTATTATTAAGGATACAAAGCCCTAAAAAGGAAGTTGTCTTTTCTTCCCTGGCTCCAGGGTTATTAATTATCTTACACTCTGCTTGGAGAAAACATCAGATTTACTTTACATTTATCACCAGTTTTCAAGGAAGATCTGATACGGAGCTGGCTGGGCTGGTAAAGGAGTGTAGCTAGTTAACATGGTCAAGCACAGCACACAGTAATGAATCAATTTGTTTCAGACAACGGACATAATTAGCATGGAGCTAATGGGCACACCTGGGCATGATGGACTGGAGCGTTGTCCCTCAGCCAAAAATATTGGTGGCTGGAGCTGGGGTGGGTTGTACGGGTGTAATTCCTGGTTCCTCTCCCCATCTCTGGGCATGGGGAGATGGCTGGAGAGGGCTTCCCATGGTGGGAGCCACTCAGGGACACCTTCTCCTCCATTCCACGTTGCCTGGTGGTCTCTAACCCATCCTCAGGGTGTGCTCCATCTAGGTTGCACCATCTTCTCCAGATCTTTGCTCACCAGCTGCCACACGGTGAGTGTTCAGCAGTGCTCATTAGGTGTGAGGGAAATACCTTCAAGGTCTCAGGTGGAGACTGACCCTGTTGGAGGGAAGAGAAGGGAGACAGCATTCCTCTTCCCATGCAAATGTTTGCTGCAGAGTCCAATCACCTCTACAGCTCACCAGCCTCCCCTAAGTGTCACTGTCTTGCCAACCAAGGTGAAGCAAGGATTTCCCTGGGCTGACCTCCATCAGACCAGGCTGTTTCCATCCCCACGGGCTGGAGGCAGGTGGTAGGGTGAGAGCTAGCCCCACAACATGCAGCAGACCAGGTCCCCACAGCTGATGGGAAGGAAGGAGGTTTGGACTCAGCACGGCCAGGAACCAAGCAGGGAAGGACACCCAGGATGTGGTGATGGATCCCAAGAGAGATGTGGAGGTGGCTCGGGGTGGGATTTGAAACCTGCCTGATAGCCTCTGCTTTGTGAAAGGGGCTGGAGCAGGGCTCCAGCTTTACTTAACATGTACCTTGGGCTCTCTTGGAGATCAGCCATTTGTCTGTGAACCAAATGTCTACCTGCAGTGGGGCCAGGAGCTGGGGCTCGTAGAGGTGACACTGCATGAACACATCATCTGTGTCCTGGGGGTTTCCAAAGCGTTGGTGTATTCAGAGTTATTCTGGCTGTTTGATGTATTCTGTGTGTGATTAATGGATTCGTTGCCTGTTGGAGGAAGTCACTTTCCTTTCCTGGGATTTCTCATCTGGAAGGGCTGCTGGAGCCATGTGAAAAAGGAAACATCTTACAGATTAAAATTAAAAAATAAAAAAGGGAAAAAAAAAAAATCAGTTTTTCCTTTTGGGTGTGGGCTTTTTGCTTCCGAGTTTCCCTTTGAAGGTGGAGCTGCTCTGTCAGGGGAAGGTGTCTCCCAGATGCACAGGGCATTTGATACCATACTGACAAGTCCAAACAGGATTGGGAAAGGAGCAAGCTCAGCTCATGGGTGAAGATAGCAGACAGCCATCTGCCTCTGGCCAAGGCCTCGCTCCCCGGTTGGGTTCCTGGTTGTCCTTCTCTGAGCCTTTACGTACACTCTGATGCCTAACTCCTTGCTTGCCTCCCCCATTTCCCACAAAGACATCTCTGTGTGGGTCGTCCACATGCTGAGGTGACACGGGATACCTTCTAGGCTTCATGTAGCAGGAGAACACAGAACTGGAGACCTATTGCCCCATAAGGACTACTCTCCTGCTGCAGCAAACAGCCATGACCAGCAGTCCCTCCAATTTGGGACGTCCAGTTGTACTAGTCCCAAAACCAATTAGGTAGATGAGTTTGGCACACCCTGTCTTGTCTTGTTTAAGCTGTGTAGGTGCTGGCACTTGGCAACATGAAGCAATACAGCATCGCCCTTTCCCCACATAGCTCCTGGCAGGGCAAATCCAACATGTGCCTGGAAAGATGTTGGCTCTGGGAGGATGTGGAAGAAACATACTGGGGAGAGAATTGTTGCACAAGGTTTCCATGGGAGGGATGTGAAAGAGAAGAGGGAACTTATGGTGGTTGTGAAAAGGTGAATAGGGTGGGAACCAAGAAGAGAAGGATGGAGACAAAGAAGGAGACAGAGTGATGTGGAGGAAAGCGAAGGTTAAATCACAGAGGACCTGGAAGGAGTTAAAGGTGACATGGAAATGCACTGGGGCAATGCAGGCAGGAGGTGCTTACAGAGGTCCAAGTGGGGCAAAAGAGAGGAGGACACTGAGAGAGGGCAGAGTCATGTTGGCATTACTCATTGGGGGAACCCCTTGCTAATTCCCTACTGTCTTATGTTTTGTCCTAGGGCACTAAATGAGAATATGGCCAATGGCATTGAAGATCTTATCGGGATCCCATTCCCGAACCACAGCAGTGAAGTCTTATGTGGTTTAAATGAGCAGCGGCATGACGGTCTGCTCTGCGATGTCATCCTCATTGTACAGGACCAGGAGTACCGGACCCATCGGTCCGTCCTTGCTGCCTGCAGCAAGTACTTCAAAAAACTCTTCACTACTGGCACTTTAACAGACCAGCCCTATGTTTACGAGATTGACTTTGTCAAGCCTGAAGCACTTTCTGCCATCCTCGAGTTTGCCTACACCTCAACCCTCACCATCACCACCTCAAATGTCAAGCACATCCTCAGCGCTGCCAAGATGCTGGAGATCCAGTGCATTATCAATGTATGCCTTGAAATCATGGAGCCCGACAGAGAGGCCGAAGAGGAAGATGACAAAGACGACGAAGATGATGACGAAGATGAAGATGAAGATGAGGAGGAAGAGGAGGAGGAGGAGGAAGAAGTGGAAGATTTTGTCAATCAGGAGAACCTAACTGATGTCCAAGAAGTAAGCTGTCACCAAAGCCCTTCAAAGTCTGATCTTACCGAAGAAGCATATACAGAAGCACCTAAAGATTTTCCAAATCACTACCCAGCCAATAACTCCTCTGGACACTTGGGTGTGATACGAGACTTCTCCATCGAGTCCTTGCTAAGGGAAAACCTGTACCCGAAGGCGAACATCCCAGAAAGGAGGCCAGCTCTCTCTCCTTTCACCCCTAACTTCTTCCCCCATCTGTGGAACGGTGATTTTAGCTCCTTCTCCCAGCTTGAGGAGCCACAAGTAGACAACGGCCCCTTGGATCTGGTGATCAAAAAGAGGAAGATCAAGGAAGAGGAGGAGAAGGAAGACCTGCCTCCGCCTCCTTTCCCTAATGACTTCTTCAAGGACATGTTTACCAACACCCCAGCAGCTCCCTTAGGGCATATTAAGGCAGAGACTGACTATAGCGCTTATCTCAATTTCCTAAGCGCTACCCAGTTTGGAGGAGTTTTTCCCCCATGGCCCCTGGAGGAAGAGAGAAAGATAAAGCCCAAGGCATCCCAGCAATGTCCCATCTGTAACAAAGTCATCATGGGAGCCGGCAAGCTGCCCAGGCACATGAGGACCCACACGGGAGAGAAGCCGTATATGTGCAATATCTGTGAAGTCCGCTTTACCAGGTGTGCCTTGGTTACCTCTACCATGCATGGCTGCTTGCAGTGGGGGTGGTGGTGGTTGAAGGGGCCACGTCATGATCCATGGCTCATTCCTAAGCTACACATCTTTTTCCTCTCCCCAAAAAAGTAGGACATGATCTCTGATTTCTTCAGGAAAAAAAATAAAAGGGGTGGGGGGAGGAAGGGAGGGTGGAGGAAGAAAACGAACCTACTGATTTTGGTGGGTTGTGGATCACATCCACAACTCACTAGATCCATTCCCTCACTGGACAAAAGCTTAAATAAGTAACAGGATATTTTCAACCCCACCATAGTTCACCACAGTTGGGCCAGAGGGAGCTGGAAAACAGCTGGTCAAACAGCCAAGAAAGCTTCATCTCTAATGTGCTGGGAGATGTGTTGAGTCGGGAGGGCCATTTAGCTGTGGGATGTAATTAGTTTGGGTTTGCACATTTTGGCATCAGTGTAGACCACAACCAAGTTGCACATGTTTAGACATGACAGTGTCTGGGCTTTCTGATGCTGGTGCAGTCCTAATTATTATGATGATGATCTGAGGGCTGGAGCAGCTCTGCTGTGAGGACAGGCTGAGAGAGCTGGGGCTGTTCAGCCTGGAGAAGAGAAGGCTCTGGGGAGATCTTATAGTGGCCTCCCAGTACCTGAAGGGGCTCCAGGAAGGCTGGGAAAGGACTTTGGCCAAGGGCAGGGAGTGAGAGAACAAGGGGTGATGGCTTGAAAGTGTCAGAGGGGAGATGGAGCTGAGATGTGAGGAAGAAATTGTTTGGTGTGAGGGTGGTGAGACAGTGTCCCAGGTTGGCCAGAGAAGCTGTGGCTGCTCCTCCCTGGAAGTGTTGAAGGCCAGGTTGGATGAGGCTTTGAGCAACTTGGTCTAGTGGAAGGTGTCCCTGCTGGTGGCAGGGGGGTTGGAACTGGATGATCTTTAAGGTCCCTTCCACCGTATACCATTCAACAATTCTATAATTCTATGATGATACATTAGTAGAGGGGTGGGTGTTAGTCTCTTTTCCCAGGTAATAAGTGATAGGACAAGAGGAAATGGCTTCAAGTTGTGCCAGGAGAGGTTTGGATTGGATATCAGGGAACATTTCTTCATTGAAAGTGCAGTCAAACATTGAAACAGGCTGACTAGGGAAGTGATGGTGTCCCCATCCCTGGAGGTATTTAAAAGATGTGTAGATGAGGTGCTGAGGGACATGGTTTAGAGGTGGCCTGGGCAGTGTTGGGTTTATGGTTGGACTTGATGATCTTAAAGGTCTTTTCCAACTTAAATGATGCTATGGTTCATCACCCTGAACTTTAGCTGCCCAAGAGTCTGGTATCTTGACTCCCTCCACGGAGGGAAATGAGATGAGCACCGTGGAAAGAGATGAGCACCTCCGTGGAAAGGGATGAGCACCCTCAGAAGGGTAGCTGAGGAAAGGGGATGTGTGAATGTGTCATCCCTGACCACAAAAACAACCTGCGGGGCTTAGATTAGGGCACTTAACTTTTAGGAATCTCAAGTTAGGTGAGACCAGCCCCAACATGGGCTGCTCCAAGAGAGGTGTGACCAACCAGATCCACCCCTGGTACAAGTATTCTTATATTCCCAACCTTTGCACCTCTCTGCACCCCAGCCAAGCCCTTGGTGGTAATAAATTGGAACAGGCTACACAAATCTAATGCTACAGCTTGCAACCCTTCTCTGAAAAGCTGGGCAAATTTAATCGGTGAGCAGAGACAAATAGATTCCTGGACCTGCTCTTGCTGGGTATAATTAATATCTAATGAGTACAATCTTTACCATAATAATAAAGCTTTCTGACAAGAGCATGGTATTTCAACTCCTGGCTGTGTGTGTGTGTGTGAGAGAGAGAGAGCCCTATTAGGCTGGGGTGAGCAAACCAGAGGAAAATAATATGCACAGTGAGCAAAGGCGAGCTCCTGACAATGGCCAGACACCTGGGGTGCTCCCACATTCAGCCTGTCTTTTCTTCTCCCATCCCTGTGATAATATTCGAATGGAAGTTATGCAGATGATGAGGATTTGACCTGAAAATAAATTTCCATGCTCCGCTCCATTAACGCAGCAGACACCATATTATAATGCGGGGAGCATCATGCCTCAGGCAGGTGTACACCACGCGAGCTGGCTCACCCTGGTATTTGCAGGGGAAAGGCCACTGACTGGTGCTAATTCCTGCCTGGAGGAATTTGGATCCAGTTCTTGCTGGTGCTGCACCCCCAGGTTGTCAACTCTGGGAAGCTGGGCTCTGCTAGGAGGAGTGGGATGGGTTCAGTTGCATCCCCTGGGCTAGAGGGACCACCTGGGCAGCCCAATCCTATGGTCCCCATCACTCTCCTGGGTGTGATGCTGTGGGTGCTAATTGCTGACAAGGAAATAGCTTGGCTTGACCCATCACTGACACCTTCCCTGTAATGGGAATAGTACCCCATGCAATGCTACAGGCTTTGGGCAGA